GCACATGAATTGAAACGAAACGAATTGAAAGAGCAAACAACAAGGAACGGATATTGAAACAAGCACGTAACCTCTTCGTATTTGCGATCGGCCTCTTCAGCGATCACTTTCGCCTCTTCAACTTGAACCTCAAGTATGTTGGCACGTTCCTCATCCTGTTGTGAGCGTGTTTCCATCGATTTACGAGCACTGTACATTGCACAAACATCACACATTAAGCATTCCTCACATTCAGCATATCAAATGATAACTTATTTTTGGCTATTTCCTTAGCAAATTGCTTGAACACGGACCAGTGAACAAAAAAGCAGAAGAAGTTTCTTGTGAAAAGAACTGAAACGTTCATGTGACAAGCATCATATCGTCGAGATTTTAGGTGTGACTTGGTTAGTTTATATTTCGAGTAGGTCAATTCATTGGTTGATTTCTTTATTTTTTGCTTTGTTTGACCAGTTTTATTGCTGATCGATGGAGGATTCGCTCAGTGAAGCTCACATAACGTTTCATATTCAGATTAGGCGATATTCTGTAACGTTAGAAAGAGCAGCAAGGCGTCAGCAGGCGTTCGGCACTGACTTGAAACTGGTAGCTGGTGAAAGCGCAAGCAAATGAGATTATGAAATTCCTTTCTCTTACTAAAGCTAATTGAATTAGTCAGCGTATTATGTGTGTGTGATCGGATGTCCACAGCTGTTTGTTCGTTTCGTGTCGTGTCTTTAGCCCAACCATTATCATCTGTATGGCACATAGCATTCTGACTCTTTGCATGACCAAAACACGACAACGAAGAAACTCGCGATGCTTGCGTGATATCGACGATAACGATGACGACTTGAGAATATTTGCATCCAATTTAGACTTAATGCCATTTAGATCTCAATGATCTTCGGTAGCAGAGCAAAACTGTTTCGTGCATATTTTTGGTGCTTTATCCGAAAAAAGTTGGATTTACAAAGTTGGATTGATTTTGAAATTAAGAATCCGTTTGTGAACGTTTCAATTTTTTGCTGAAATTGAAGTATGACGGAGAAATTGCCGAATGTAAGCAGGACAAAACACAGAACTTCACCGGATGCAAACATATTGAGGTGACGACGAACGAATGGACGATACAAGTGAAGCAAGCTACATGAATCTATCAAGCTTTTTGGGTGCTGATAGTATTTGTGGTGTTCTCACATATGTGGACTTCACAACACATCGGGTATTGGTTATGACTCATTTGAGTGACAGAAGATGATTGAGAGTAGTGTTCAAGACACAAGAATTAGATAGAGTGTATGCCTTGAGGTAGAAGCGATCAAGCGATTCCACTTTCTCACTGACGATAGGTACACTACTTGTGTTGTTGGTCTCGTGATCTGTGCTGCTTGTAAGCACATTTACAAATCAAAGCATCAGTCCATCGTCCATGAATCCGCGACGGAACATGATTTTCAGTTTATCCGTCGTCCATACGACTGTGCCAAGCCAAGCGCATAAAAATTCATTGGTGATTTGTGCTCGTTACTCGTTTCCCTTCTCTCATCATCTCATCAAGCGTAGCTAACCGCTCAGATTCATCAGCCGTATGTGTCGCCTCTTCAAGTTTGTCAGTTGCCAATTTCAGACGTTCTTCAGCCCTTTCGAGTTCCTCTTCGAGCAGTGTCATACGACGGTTCAAAGCAGCTACTTCTGCCTCAGCCTTAAATTCGACTGTGTTGTGTGCTTGATCACTTCGCATTTACAAGCACTCCTACCGTCTACTACGACTACTAGTCTGCACGAGATATACTACTGATCTGCCTGTTTATCTATTGATCTACCTGCATGAGTAACTAACAACCTTTTGTCCTATCCTATATTCCTATCCATGCTGCTACCTACCTATCATTTTCACAACTTACCAGTGATAGATTTTTAGT